ACAAAGTATTTAACATGCATAAACCACGTACTTGTTGCACATTTTATGTTTTAATCCAGTTGTACAGCTTGGGGAGGAATGAGCCATTCCTTCACGGGTTGGAGTGAACCGCAGCTTAGTAATACTTCACGTTAAAAAAGTTTTGACTTCAGCGTAAAAACATATTTTATTTACATTTATTTTTACTACATGTTATAATGCCTCGAGTCTATAAAAGAACAACTTCGAAAGTAAAAACTTCCAGTAAAGATATGAAAGATGTATTACATTTAATCCAAAAAGGAAAAAGTAGTAGAGAAACTGCAATAACTTCCAAAATATTACCTCAACGAACTTTTTCTGGAACAAGTAAAAGGCAGCATTTCCATTACAAATTTGAGGTTGTGTTTGACTTTATCATTTGTTAAATATTATATATATTATAAATTTGAGGTTTGTTTGTTAAATATTATATATATTATAAATTTGAGGTTGTGTTTGACTTTATCATTTGTTAAATATTATATTTATTGCCAATATACTATATGCTAATATACTACTTTCATTACAATTATATATATACTTTTATTATATCTTAATATTTGGAAATTATTATTTGTCATGACAACTTTTTGTTTTGTTGTCAAAATTAGTTATTACTGAAAACAAATTGTTTTTCTGGTAGTTTATACATTTTGTTTATTTCATTAAATGAGTTTAAAATTGAGTGTTAAATTTTTTGTTATTTATGCTACATTATTACTTAGTTATGTTATGCTTAATTATAAAGTATTTGTTGCTTACTTAATTTTCAATAAATTAGTTAAAGAAAATATCTAATTTTAGTTTTCTGGTAATCAAAGATAATGACTCACTCCTACCATTTGCTTGGTTCATTCCTACCCATGCATGGGTAGGAGTGAACCAGTAGCAACATCTGCGTTATTGTTTAACTTATTAAAAACCTAAAGATATTTTGATATTTCATGTATTACTATTAGAAACCTAATACTTTAGGCTACCTTAGGCTCTTTATCCTATACTTTTTCCACTTTTTGCTTTCTTGATATAATCGATTTTAAAAAAAGTGGTTCACTCCTACCCATCCTCCCTTACGCTTTTCCTCTTACTTAACATTTATAAATAGCCTGTTCTATTTGTTTTTTTTTTTTGTTCTTTTTTAAGACATTTAAGAATAAATACTTGTTAAAAAAAAAATCTTAGTTGTAATTTTTTAAAAAGAGGTTTATTTTATAAACCGCGTGGAACTCTACAAGTGATGAATGCTCTCTGCAAACTAAAGGGTTATTGTCCTCTTGAACACTAAATACAAAGATAGGCTTAACCATAGTAGTTTAAAAGACTCTGTTAATAGACTCGAATTCTTTGATATCCAAGAGCCACTGAAAGTCTAATCCTTGAGAAAAAGTGGTTGAGGATGTGTGTTTTCCTGATCATACAGCAATCTAGGTAGGTCCAGAATAAGTAACAGCATCTGTTATTCCGTGACATCTCTTTTGATAGTAATTCCTGTGTATACAGACGCTATAAGTTTCTGTTTAGCAGCCATGATCCAATCGTGGGCTGCCATTTTAAAAAATAAACACGTGTAAAAGTAAAATATTGAAACAAAAGCTCTATAATTATGTAGTAATAAATTTTGTGAAGGTTAAACGTATTATTACTGATGAGCAAGAAGGAAATATGAGGAGATGCTTAAAATCATAATATTATAGCATGGACATTTGGAAACCACTTTCAGTTTGGGAACCACTTTCAGTTTACTTTAATATTATTGCATAGACATTTGGAAACCACTTTAAGTTTGTGTAATAATATGGCATGAGCTGTTAAAAGGTTAATGCTAAATGAGTTTTACTAAATAACAAAATAAACTAAAAAATTGTTTTGAATACCTGATTTTTGCATTGTTTTGTGGATTGCTTTAGAGGCCTGAAAATGGATTTCTTGAGAGATATTACTAAAAAACGTTTTTTAAAATTTCCAGTAGTTTTTGGTATTTATTTTGCTTTTTGCTGTTCAGGTGCTTTTTTTTTTCAAATTTAAGATATCAGATTTCTGATCTCCTATCAAACAAATTAAACACAATACATCAAACAGTGTTAAATCACTGTTTGATGTATTGTGCTTGTCTTGCGGATATCATAATATCCGCAAAAAAAAAAAGTGTGATGCTTTTGTAATTTAAAAGAAAAACTAAAAATAACGCATGAGTTATTTTCACATTTAACACAAGTAAATTAAGTTGCTTATTTCTGATTTGCACAAATCACAATAAGTTTTTTCACAATTTTTTCTTAATAAAGTTTTTTTCTTTTACAAGAAAGAGAAAATAAAAATATTAACGAAGAAAAATAATCAAGAAACTTATTTTAATCTCCAGAAATTTATGTAGGGATGCATACAGTCCCTGGCACCAGAAGCTATCACTGTTTTGTACTAGATAGAGAAAAATAGCTTTTCTAGAGAATCTCTGGTACTCACATGCTGAATAATGTTAATGCGTTAAAAAAAAAAATTAAATAAGTTTTTAATCTGGTAAATAACTAATTAAATTTAAAATAGACTAACTAATAAGTAACTGTATTTAACTAATAATATGTATAAATAAGTAAATTTAAAATAAACTAACATTGTATGATCAATTTAGTGTTAGGTTTTGTTATAAAACAAATAAGTTCTTTATCCATTAAGGTTTGAATTCTTTGTGTCTGCAACCTTGCGAATAATGGTTATGAAACTATAATGTGTTATGTAAATTAGATATTTACTTAACTCGTTCAAATTATAAATTTACATAACTCAACATAGTGTATTTTAATGTATATATACACTTATTTATATTTTAATGTATATATACAAATATTTTTAATGTATATATACACTTTGCTCTGATTATTAATTTTTCTCTTTAATAACTTCTGCTCTAAATTTGTGTCAAAAAGTGGTCAAAATTTAAAACAAATCTGAGATTTGTTTGCTTTAAACCTAAACTACAGATTAGGAGTGGATTAATGTGAATTTTTATTGTCATTTTTTTCATTAGATTTCCATCCCAGTAAATAATAAAAAGAATATCAGCATTGAGTTAAGCTTTCATTTTGTTTGTAATCTCAACATCTTACTTTGTTTTCTTACAATAAATGGAAGATCTATCAATATTCTACATTTTTTATAAATACTCTTGATGTTACTGTGAGTACATTTCTGAAAGTTTTCATTGATTACATTGTGAGTGCAGCAGTGATTGCTTCAGTGAATGATGTTACTTCCTACCTAAATTAGTCCATTCCGGAACTTTTTTGAGTTGCAAGTCTAACTCCTTTCAAAGCACCAAAATTCTTTTCTCATAACATTTCATTAATACAACTACTGACTTATGATTCCAACATTTGTATAAGATATGGAGGTTACTTTTTCAGCATCATGCCACCATGGTGCCATTGTTCTATGATTTTTATGCAGGTTTTTTAAGATGCAAATATCAACTGATACACTTTTTTTTTTTCTACTTTCCTGAGGAGCTAATACTCATAATAAAATATCTCAAATTTTTCAATTGTCTTGTCCTTTTGACCCATGGGAATATAGGCTTAGCTCAAAATTTTGCAGTTAATGTCTCTAACAACAACCACATCAAGTATTTATTTTTTCATCATTTAACAATTATAATGATAATAATAAGTTACTAAAGTTATTAATAACATGAATAATAAAAGTTATAATTGTAATAATAATTATAAATTGTAAAAAAAATAAGATAAAAATTAGCCAAGAGTGTCTCTTTAAAAGCAATTTAAAGCATTTAACTTCATCTAAATGTCTTAGGAGGTAGACGCCCTAGGAGTAGACATAATGATATATTTTTCATTTTTATATTGGTATATATTTTTATTATTAGTCCGAAAAGGAATTAGTTATTAGTTTATTATGTACTAAGAAAAAATATGTATTAACAAAAAAAAAAGTATAATTATTTTAAATAACATTTTGTCAATAAATAAAACGCAATGCTCATGGGCAACCTGCAAATAATTTTCAATCCTCAAGATTTACACACAGAACATTTTTATTCTTAAGAAATTTTTCTAATTTCTACAATTCCTAATTTAAAAAAAATTTACAATTCCTAATTTATTGTTTTTGCTATATAGCACCTATTTCGGATGGTTTCCCATGTTTCATTATACATGTGATGTATAATGAAACATGGGAAATGTAGTTTTTTTGTGTGTTTTTTTGTATCTCCGCGAATTTTTTTTTTGATAAAATCATTTCTCAAAAGGGCTTGGCGAAATGTGGAAAATAGTGTTTGGCAAGCAGTGTGCATAGTTCCTTATGGTTGTTGGAGTAAAGTATACATAAAAAAAAATAGAATTAAGCATTGAAAAAAAGTTTTTATAATCTTTTATATTTACGATTTGAAATAAAAAACGAGTTTTTTTTTTTTTTTTTTTTTTTAATTTCTTCCGAATTTATTGCTTTCGCAATATTAGATCACTATTTATTACTCACATAATTTTGAGGGAAATTAAAAACTGTAATTTAACAAATTATTGCATTCATATGTTATAAAACTTGGGAGAACTGTATCTATGTAAAATAACTTGGGAGAACTGTATCTATGTAAAATAATTATTGTATCTATGTAAAATAACTATTATATCTATGTAAAATAATGAAGGTCTTAAATAGAAATCATCTAGCTTAAGAATGAGCTTTTTTTGTTTTGTTTTGTTTTTTAACTTGGCTCAAACACTATGACGGATTTTTATCGTATTTTTATATTAAGTGATAAGTACTACCCACATCTTTTGCTTGATTTTTTTTTTTTTTTTTTTTTTTTTTTTTTTTGCTTTTAATTTGAATTTTTTTTTTTTTTTGTTTGCATTATTTTCTTTTTTAAATTCGCAATGTATAATAAAAATGTATATTAAGTTTTTATTCGTCAAATTTTTTTGGTTATGAAAGACTTATTGTTATTTTTATTATTTTTATAGATCACACGAACAGTAAACCTTTCACTTGGCAAGGTGTTCCTTCTCAACCGTCAAAATTGTAGTTGATCAAATAGTAATAGATATTTAAAACACACTAAATTTATATATGTAATCAAAATTATTTCTTAAGCTATCCTTAAACACAAAGTTATATATGGATGGTTAAGCGCCAAACCTGCCTATACAACGAATATGTTGAAACGAGATAATTAGACGCAAATTTTAAAAGTCTTTAACAAAAGCCACTAAACCGAAAAAATTAAAAGTATTTGCAGTTAAGTGCACTTAAAAATTTTAATCATAGTATATAGGTGTTGGCAAAAAAGCACTATATAAATCTTTTTTTTAACATAAACTCATTTTTTTCAACTTTGTTCTATAGGCAGGTTTGGCGCTTAACCATCTCTATGTAATCAAAATTTTTTCTTAAGCTATCCTTAAACACAAAGTTATATATGTAATCAAAATTATTTCTTAAGCTATCCTTAAAACAGAATCAAAACGGTAATCCATTTTGGAATAGTGGATAATTTTTATTCCCATATTAATTCAGTTATATTCCTTAAATAAATCAGCTGTTGTATTTCTATTAGTACAATTGTAAGAATTAATGATTATAATAATTTTTATTAAATATTTTTGTCTTAATCAGCACAAATGAACTTCTTGAATAAAAATTATATTAAAGTGTCATTTTAAAGCCAAAATCCCCAAAATAAAAAATTTTTATTTATTTTTTTTTTTTTTATTAGAAAGGAAAAAATAACATTTGTTTTGAAAAAACTTTATATATTTATGCTAATTATTTAAAAGTTTCAATTTTTTCTATTTAAAAAAATTCCGTTATTACCCAATTAAATTAACAACAAGGATATTATTTATATTTATACTTTACGTAGAGTATTTTATTGTTGGCACTTGCAAAAGTTCAATGACACCAGAAAATCGATTTTTTTTTAATGTATCTTCTTTCTAAATGTGCAAATTAAAGGATCGATGCACATAAAAGACAATGAAAAAAGTCTAAATTGTTTTAAAATATTGTTATAAAATTTCCAAGAAAGATTTTTAAAACCTTAATTGGGTACCTCTTGAGACTCTACAGAAAACAAATCTAATGGAAGAGTAAACGATTCAATAACTTTATTTTAATTCATAGCCATGAATTAAAATAAAGTTATTGAATCGTTTGGGTTAGCATACCAAGGGTACGTAGAAGTGTTTGAGTCATTGTATACTAAGGGTGTGTAGACCATAGAGCAAAACAGTTTCCTAACAGAATATTCTAAAATTTGAGTAATGAGTTAATGTCATAACAAGATGATATTGTGGCCAGAATAATAAGAAGTCTTTTCATAAAATCTATATTCAATATATTTTTAATCTAAAATCTATATTTAATATATTAGCAAAAGACGTTTAGAACGTTCAAAAGACGTTCTAAACGTCTTTTGAACGTTCAAAAGATGTCTTTTTAGGGCCTGCTGTGAAAATAATAGTTTCAAAATTTTCATCTCATTGTTTAATTTACAATATGCTGTACTTCAACTTTCTTTATTGTATCATCCTCCAGTGGAACAGATAAAACCAATAATGTTATATTTTTAATAGAAGCCATTATTGACTGATATTCTGTAAAAATTACTTCTTTTGATTTTTTTCTATATATAAATCTGAAAGGCCTAGTAACTAGTTAACGATGACGTTGGACTTTTCGAAAGAACTTATTTTTTGTCATCTTTCAAACAATATAATTCTAGAGTACCAAGCAAGTAATAAAAAGCGATTCTTCAGAATTAAGTTCACTTGTATCTATGTAAGGCACACTCTTCAAATTTTCTTACTTCTACCACAACCATTTTATACTGAAGCTGCTACCACTCTACATGTTAATACCTGAATTACTTTAACTTTTCCTAAAAAAAAAGGTTGTTTGATACAACGTTTTTTCTAATCTCTCTAAGATTATGCCTACTTTTTATATCTTGTTAGAGTTACACCACACATCCATCTGATCATTTTCTCCTTCGGAAAATACTACACCATATAAATACTAAAGTTTATACAACAATGAAAGAATATTGTATTTCAGCATCTAAACAAATAGCAAACAGATATGATTATATCCATAATATGTGTGCAAAAAGTGCATCTTGGAAGCTTATATTGCTTCTGGAATAAAAGTTTGGAAGCGTTTATAACTTCTCTTCAGTTTTAAATCAAGCCTCATTCTACTCTACATCTTTCAACATTAATTACGTTTTTCGTCTTTTTTATAAGAACATCTATCTTGAGAAAAAATTGTCCTTTTTATTATTGCAATAAGCTAATGTATAAATAAGGTCTTGTCTGATGTAAATCTCTGTTATTCTCAGTTTACTAAACCTTCTATCTTACCTTAGATGTTGATTCTAGAGACTTTTAGTTAGTTTTCAACAGTGTTATTAACTAAAGTAAGTCTAACGTTTAATCTCTAATTTATGGGTCTCATCTTTTTACTTTACGCCAGAGTAAAACAGAGCTATTTACAAGGAAATCTTACTCTAGTTTGACTCTGGAATATAATGGCTGTACTCTTCCTGACAGTAAAATATTTTTGCTAAACTTTAAATTAATCCATTGTTAAACATCGAAATTACTCTAGCTTCCAAAACTAAAACTAATTCTCAATTAAACACATCTACAATGTGTGCTTCAGACAAGATTTTCATCATAGTCTTAAAAAAGTGTTCTCCAGAACTATCTACAATTTTTGCTAAACTTTAAAAAAAGTGCTAAATACGTGGTTCCAATTTTTCAAATCTCTAGAAAACACTTTGACCTCTCCAAGTATCTTATGACTCTTCTTCACTTTGTTATTAGTTTCTTATAATTTTCTATGTAAAGGTTTTGAGGTAATTAAATTACTACTTTCTAACTACAGTAGTGAAGTTATTCTTGAAGGCCTACCCACTTTATTTCAAGTAACTTTAAGGTTCTATATTTGTTCCTGTAATATTTTTTATCTACAATAACAATCATAATGAAATCTAAAGTGGCTCTATTTGCTGATGACTCCAGTTTATACTCTTGTATTGACAATAAATCTTCACTTTTTAATTGCTTAGAACAAGCAGCAAATTTTAAATCTGATCTCTCTTCTAGATTAATCTGGATTTAAATTCTGGACTTAAAACCCACAATTTTTGTTAGTGTTAGTTAAGTTTTAGAAAACTGTTTTAAACAAGAGTTCAAATAGTAAGAACAATTTTTATTATAACTACGGATTAAAAACATCTAATCATCCAAAACAAATTACAGAAATGCTAGCTTTTGAGAACGAACTCATTGATCTTGTAAAACACATTAAGTTTCGAAAGGTACAAAGCAATTTTCAAAATAAACTAAAACAAGATATAAACATTATTCGAAAATCTAATCAAACTTATACGTTTGCTGATAAAACATCTAATCTTTACAAATTATCTAAAAATGATTACAACCACTTGTTAAGAAATGCCATCACTTCAAATTACAAATTATCTAACTCAAATATAATAAATAAAGTAAACATAGAAGGTAAACGTCTTTTGAAAGATCACGAAGTTTTCGATAAAATTGATATTAATACAGCTTCCAATTGTTTTATCACCTTAAAAGACCATAAAGATAATTTTGAAAACAATCCGACTGTCCGTTTATTGAATCCTGCTAAAGATGAGGTTGGTAGAATTAGCAAGGATGTTCTTTCTAAAATTAATACAGACCTAAGAAGTATATTACAATTAAACCAATGGAAAAATACTCGTAATGTTATCGATTGGTTTAAAGCCATAAAAGACAAACACCTTTATAAATTTTTAATTTTTGATATCATTGACTTCTACCCTTCTATTAGCGAAACACTTCTAAAAAACTCTATCAAATTTGCAGAGCAACACTTAACACTAAATAAAGAGAATATATTGTTAATTTTTCATGCATGAAAGTCTTTGCTTTTCACTAATAATCAGGTTTGAATAAAGCAATCAAGTGGTTTATTTGATGTTTCCATGGGAGCTTTTGACGGCGCGGAGGTTTGTGAGCTTGTAGGAATATTTCTTCTTTTCGAAATTTCAAAATTTTATAACAAGTTTGAGGTTGGTTTATACCGTGACGATGGATTAGCAGTTTTTAGGAATAAAAGCGGCCCTCAAATGGAAAAAATAAAAAAGCATCTTTCCGAAATATTCAAATACAATGGCTTACGGATTTCTATACAATGCAACATGAAAATTGTCAACTACCTCGACGTCGATTAAAAATAAATAAAAAAAAGGAAATTAAGATATTTTGAAGCTGTCTTTTTAATTACTTAAAATGTTTTGTTTAGAAAGAGACTTCAGATAAAACTTTTTTGAAGTTTTACTTATTTAAAACGTTTTTTTAGAAAAAGACTTCAGATAAAACTTTTTTTTTCTAAAACGCAACGATTAAAAATCATATTTATCCAATCAAAATTTGAATAGCATAAATTTGAAAGAAAAGTTGCGTAACTTTTTACGCAAAGAAACTTTTGCAGACTTTTATTTTTTATATCTTTAAATTTTTAAAATAGAAGTAGAAAGTCAACCATAAAAAATTAGCAAAAACTGAATTGTTTTTTGAACTTGTCTCAAAAAATTAATTAAGAATAATTGGTTAAACAAAAAATATAGAATTTTGGCCCCCCCTACTATAAGGAGCCAATTTTTAAACCACAAGATCAATACCATACTGATGTTTTTTATAGCCTTTTTCATAGCCTTTTTCAAACCGCGTCAAACCTGGAAACTATTACTAACTTGAGGGGACATTTTTTTAAAGCGCAATATTTGTTTATGTTTAGAACTCGTTATTTTTAGACAGTCTAATTCTTTTCTTAATTATGAAGTGGTATTGCAGCTTGTATTTGTGTTTTAACAACTTTAGATCTAAAGATAAGGAGGGAAATCCTATAAAAGCTTATCAATTGCCGAGAGATGAAAATATTCAGAAACTTTACATGAAGCATGTAAAGTTTCTGAATTTACATTTTAAAACTTCTTGAATGAATTGGCAAATAGGACATACATGTTCTGCCCATTGGAGTAGGAACATAGAGAT